GATGAAAGCTGATGCAACGGTCTCAGCTGTGAAGTCTTGGATTGGTGTTGCTTCCGGCCAACGAGTGAACCGGTCAACAATCGTGAGGAGGCATCGGTAGCCTTTGCAGGGTGGTAGAGCTCCGACGGGATAAATGTCGACTTTTTTTAAAGGGCCGTCGGGAGGCGCAAACTTGGCAAGTGGCGTTACGGTGTGCGGATGTTTTTGCTCGCTGGCACGGCGAACATGCTCTCGCCGAATGTCAGACGTCGCCGTTCATGCCCGGCCAGACGCAGCGTTCCTCGACCAGTTTTTGTGACGCTCGAATTTCAGGGTGAGCGAGAGAGTGAAGACAGTCGAAAACTCGTCGGCATAACTTTTCAATGACGAACGGGCCTTGCCTGCTTATGGAAGTGTCACAAACAATGGTGATGTCTGACGAAAAATGAGGAACGTCTGTGAGCTGTGGGGAGGTTGTTGAGTGGCGTAGGTTCCTGTCTTCTTCGTTTTGTTGCTGCAGACTAGCGAACGTTTCCCGCGACAAATCGGCGGTGTCAACTGAAGCAATGTGGCTAAGCTGTCTGCAGGGATATTTTGCGTTCCTTTGACATGTCGTATGTCTGTTGACTATTCTCTCAAGAAAGAGAGGTGCCTGACCTCTCTTGGAGAGTAACTGGTTCTGGCAGCTAAGGAAATATGCGTCAAAGGCTTGTGGTCCGTGAAGATGATGAATTGGCGACCTTCTAAGAAATATCGAAAATGTTTCACAGCCAGGCAGGCAGCTAATAACTCTCGGCCGAAAGCGCTGTACAGTTGCTCAGTGCTGGTCATTTTCTTCGAGAAATAACCGAGCGGTTTTCAGGCTCCACCAAGGACCTGCTGTACCACAGCGCCGATAGCGACTCCGGAAGCGTCTACCATGATGCTTCGAAGAGCACCATGTTGGGGATGCTGCAACAGGGTCGCCTGGGTTAACCTATTCTTGGCAGCGGAGAAATCGTTGTCGGCCTCTTGATTCCAAAGGAGTATAGCTGCTGGAGACTTGGATTGCGTGAGCATTGCTTCAAGAGGTAGGAGGATGGTCGCACAATGTGGTATAAAACGGTGGTAAAAGTTTCCCAACCCCAGAAAACGACACAGTTGACGGAGGGATAAAGGCCGAGGAAACTCAGAAATGACCTTGAGTTTCGTCGTTAGTCGTTGAATGCCTTGTTTGTCCACCGTATGTCCAAAAAGTCCAACGAAGGAAATCCGAACTCACACCTGTCCACGTTTATGATGAGGTTGTAGTCTCGAAGGCCTTCAAACAGGAGCCGGAGATGATAGAGATGGTCCTCTGGTGATGTACTTGCGACAAGAATATCGTCGACGTACGCGAAAACGAACTTAAGTCCTCGTGTCACGACGTCGATAAATCTTTGGATAGTTTGCCAAATGATGTCGTGGTGGCGGTGTTGGGGATGTCTTCTATGGCTACAGGAATTTGATGATATGCTTTCGTAGGATCTATTTTTGAAAAAAAAAAAAAATAGATCCTCTGAGGTTGATAGTCAAGTTTTGAATGTTAGACGATGGGTAGCGGTCAGGGAGCGTGGCTAAATTTAAAGCACGGTAATCCCCATGAGGCCTCCAGTCGCCAGTTTTCTCGGGAATCATGTGGAGGGGCGAGGACCAACAGCTCGAGGATGACCTAGCGATTCCCATTTCAAACATATTTTCGAATTCTCGCCGGGCGATGCGAAGTTTCTCAGGGGTTAATCGCCGGGGAACTGCATGGGTAGGTTGACCGTGGATGGTGATACTGTCTACAACGTCATGCGTGGCAGGTTTGGTCCAGTCAAGGGAGGCAGTCAAAATCGGGAATTCCTTGATGAGGCTTGTGTACGGCTCGGGTACGCTGTATTTTATCGTTAAGGCGAAAGGTGAGATGGTTGTGGGCTTGCCCATTATGGAGAGTCAGGTGGTAGAATCAATGAGATTCTTGCGTGCCATGTCGCCCAAAATTGTGAAATGGGATAAGAAGTTCGCACCCAGGATGGCGTGGCTGTCTGGTGCAACAAGAAATACCCATCGAAAAATTCGCCGATTGCAGCTAGTTCGACAGCAAGGGGTCTCCTGTACACAGGGAGGCTGCTGCCGTTTACTGCTCGTAGATAAGAGATGGGAGTAGAGCCTTTGTCAGCGGTTTGCGAAGCAAGAATGCTGACCTCGGCCCCTATGTCGATGAGAAACTTAACATTTCAAAGTTCGTCTTTGAGGAAAAACAGGCGATTGTCAAAAGGTTTAGGAGGAGCACTCGTCGCCGCCAGTGTTTTATGGTTTCGTTTTTTGACCATCCACAAGGCTGCGTGCAGCGTTCTGCTCTGGAACAAAATTTTTGATGGTACAAGCAAGGTTGAACTTCTGGAGACTGGCTTCTCGAAGCGAAAAAAACGTCGCAATTGTGATGCTCGGTTCGCAGTTCGAGCAGAACGGGACGAGTCATGGGATGGCTCTGAACAACGAACAAGGGAGCTTGCGACGAGTGTGGTCAGGTTCTTGATTTCCTCCCGAAGGGCCGTCATTTCTTCAGAGGAGGCGAATCTCTGCTGTTGGGGTTCAGAGAGCTGATGTACGTTCGAGTTGTGAACAAAAATCTGTGGTGGTGCGACCTCCATGATTTTGTCTTAGTGCTGTGGCAGAGCTGGCAGGGTCAAATCTGCTGCCGTGGTAAGTATAGCATCTGGACAGTCGAAGGAAGACGTTGTGGAAAAAGTTATGTTTGTAATGTCGCATCAAACATCGCTGAGCGCTCGCCAAGGAGGGCCTGCATGTGACGGAGTAAATGTGAAGATCGCCGATCTCCGATCTCTTTTGCTGCCAGCAGCTGCTGTAGGCGCTTGAGTTCCGGAACCGCCGTTCGTTCTAAGATTGCCGCTTTCAGCGCGTCGTACGGTGCAGCGGTGGGGGATTTGAGAAAATGTCATAACCTTCCGATTCTACTTTGTTGGGAAGGGCAGCTGCAGGTGGTCGAAACGCGTCGTTTGCGACGTGACCTTCGAAACGCCGAATTGGGCTTCAACCTGCAGAATCCAGATTTTCGGGTGCCGTGGACAGAAGGGCGGGAGGCATACAGCGTAGTGGTTGATGATATGGGGAGGCTCACCCGTACGATCCGTTTATTGCGTGTTCGCGGCCATAGTTCCCGGGTCAATAGTGTGGTGGCAAAGAAAGGAAAGGAACCGAACACGACGAAGCTCGGGCCAAGACTATTTTTTATATCCGTCACGCGCTTGTTGCCTTACAGCCCCGCGCTCCCGCATCCCAAGGACGTCTTTTTCTTTGCTGCTCTGTCACCAGATACTTTTCTTGGCTTTGCTATGTTTTTTTAGAGCGCAGCTCTTAGGCGCCCGTTTCCGGCTAGAGCGGCGTCGCCGTCGCCGTCGCCGTCGGCGTAACCGCGCGGTGCATTATGGGTAAATTTCCCCGCTAAATCTAGCTGGAAAATTTCCCCGCTAAATCTAGCGGAAAAATTTCCCCGATAAATTTAGCGGAAAAATTTCCCTGCTAAATCTAGCGGAAAAATTTCCCCACTAGATCTAGCGGAAAAATTTCCCCTCTAAATCTAGCGGAACAATTTCCCCGCTAAATCTAGCGGAAACAATTTCTCCGCTAAATCTAGCGGAAAAAGTTCCCCTCTAAATCTAGCGGAAAAATTTGGTCACGTGACCTGGGGAGTCACGTGACACCCCGAGGTCACGTGACCCCCTCCCGTGGTCACGTGACCTCTGATGGGGGCACGTGACTGCCCCCCCCCGTGTCCCCACCAAGGTCACGTGCCCTCGGGGGGGGGGGGGGGTCACGTGACCCCCCCCCCTCCGAGAACAGGTAACCCTCAGTACCCTTCCCTCCTCCTCCTCAAGAGCTGCGCTCCAATTCGTTGTTACAGGGAGTTGTAAACGGCTTTCACTTTTTTTCTGATCCACCGCATCATGGTCAAACTGCTACGCATGAGCCAAAGATGCCATGTCTTAATCAAACAACCAGCAATGAAGCCTGATTCTCGCATTTCCTGCGAAACTAAGGCCCAAAAAAGCAAGGTAGCTACCGAACAACCGCAGAAATGCCTAACTCTGGAACTTCTTTTAAATTTGAGGTAAAAATACCAAGACCCTGACTAACAAATAAGGAGTTTGGTTATACGTCGGCTTTTTTAGAGATTTCAGGCCTTTAAATTATCAAACAAAACCAACATTTTTGCCCACAGAACTGTGCTAGATATGTCAGTTGCCATACCGCCCGTAGTAGCATCGTATCGTAAACAGTAATAGTTAAGCGAACACAAATGAAAGTATATTAGCCAGTTTTAAACGTCCAAAACCCGATTCTTCTGAAGAGCTAAAGAATAAAAAAAAAATATCAAGAAAAAAATGTAGAATCGGCTGATGAGATTTTACTTTAGGTTTCCCACTTGTCGGAACTGCGCAACAGAAAGCAAAATCGCAACAAGCGAATTAGGCGTAAGCGGTGCACGATCCTTGTGGATCAATTGGCTATCACACGAAACCTTAACTTGAATGTTACTTTCCGGTAGTCTCAGAATAGTAGCCGGCGTTTCGCTAAAAAAAAAACCTGAAGTTAAGTAAATCTAACATTTTCTTAATGCTGCTAAGTCATCGAACAGCAAATATTATTCAAATGACCTGCAATTGAAACTCATCCACTTGGCTCTATATTGTAGAAAAACGTGCGTTTGCACAATTATTTCTTTTTTTGGTTTGATGAGGTAAGAAACTGACAGGCTCGAGTGTGACCGCTGGATGCGCTTTGTAGGAAGAGTCTTTTTTTTGTCAATTCAGTGCATACAGTGTTTATGTTTTCGTTATTACTCTAAGGATGCGCACTTTTTGCCACCTAGTTGTTAAATCCATGTTGATAGATTAGACAATAACAAATGACCTTTCTAAATGTCAGCATTTCCAGGGTTGATATAAGCCTCTCCGTTCCTTCGTTGCGTCTTTGAGCCAGGACTTTACAACGCGATGCTTGTATTCCTTTGTGTAGTTGCAGTTTTGCTAGCATGTTCCGATGCTGCAAAATTATCAGAACAGCAGAGGAAAGAACGTCAAGTGAAGAGTTCCACTAACGCTTGGTTGGTACGTACCTTGTTTTGTTAAAGTGGGCAGGCTTAGCTACTGCTTGTGTAGAGATGAAAATAAATCAAAATGCCAAATAATGAACGAAGTTCAGCACTTTAATTTTTTTTTTTTTAATTTTCGTTGGTAAAGGTCACATTGAACTCTGGTGCCCGGCTGGAACGTGTGCTCCTCTGGTATTACGTATCTATCATGTCCCGTAGAGTACGCCAGGTAATGTCATAGCTTTGTAATTATGCGCTGCACCAAGATTTTCGCCGTAGCACTGCAATAAAGGTGGATTGACACCATGCGTCTGTCCAAGTGTACCTCTGTGCTCTGCAGTCTTTATGTAGTCATAGACAACACCAATCAAAGTTGGGGACGCCGAAACGACAGTCACGTCTGCGTCCGCTTAAGCTAGCCATGCATCGTTCACTTCGAAGGTTGGGTGGTAGAAAACACCAACTACAGGGGTGGTAAACACACTGCAAGCATTAATCTTTAAAGGCGGACTTTGTGCTTTAAATATTGAGTCGCTTTTAAGATTGAGACATGTCAGTAAAGTAGCTTCGTCTATAGCATATGCGAAATTAGGAATTGAGTAACTTGCAAAGCAATAAGCAACAAAAGTCGTCGCGTGTGCGTAACACGCTCTAATATTTATCAAGGACGTTGTATCGTGAATTTTGTCCTTGTGAAATTTCAAGTCGTAGCCGAGTTCCTGCAAAGCGTTAGGACATCCTGCTTGATATTGTTAATGTCATTGTATTTTTGAAACTTCAGAAAGTATTATATTCCTGGGGAGAATTGTACACTGTAATGGCAAATTATTGATTAATACCATCTAAAACATCAAGGTATGATTTTGTGTTGCTAGGACCGACATATATTTGTCTCATTTGTTCATTGGGAACACTTCTGCAGCAAATTTAATTTCTGGTCGCTATGATGAAGAAGCGTAATATTTCCGAGGATGAGCGCCGGACTCTGAACATGCATCTAAATTAAAATTCCATTGTTTAAATAAATGTGTGTTATACTTTCGGAACACACTTAATGTATCTCAATGTCTTCCATGGCTCAATGTGATCCTGAGAAAGAGCTTCTCAAACTGTGATGCTTGAAGTACGCCACTGTTCATCCTTAAAGTCGAGTCCAACGCCAAAGAAGGGTTAGTGTGCGTGGAGAAATAAAGAATGAATCTAATCATTTATACGCCTAATTAATTCTTGTGATTAGTGTTCCTGCTGCTGGAGCGCTTGAATATCGGCGCTCCAGTGCAATTATTCAAGAAGTTTGATTACATGGTGTTGCAATTTGATTTCAGCTGTTTACTGATGAACAAACACACTACCTTCTGTATCGTTCCATAGAAAACGATGCTGCGTATGGAGGATTCAGACAGTGTGTTACCATGTTATTGAGAGAATGTTGGGACCCCAGTCTGGAGCTCTGGTACTACTTCTATTATCAAGGTATATATACAAGTGAAGTGTACGTATAATCTTTTACCGATTCTTAGAACAAATATGCAGCGGTTATTAAGAAATATAAATCCTATCTACGGGTTTGTTTTTGTGGCTTATTCACTAAAAGTTTGATCAAGAGTCACCCTTACAAAACTATTTATCGACTTTTTACAGACATTCTATGGATTATGGTGTATAGTAGACTATATACTACTAGAGAATACGTATCCACTTTTCCATCGACTGTCTATGGCTTCTTGGCCGATTCTTTTAGACTTTTTATAAAGCTTAGATATAAATTGCATACAAAACAGATTCTAACATCATTTCTTCCTTGTATAACAAGGATATGATCTACTGTTGTGTAACAGTGACTTGATCTATTGTTGTGTAACAGTGAAATTGTTCATGATGTAGCCGTCCTCCCAGGAATTAGTGACCACAAGATGGTCACTGCTAGATTGATGTTCCCTCATCTTTTCGTTGCCCAGGAGGCCGACAGGAAAGCCTTTATGTACGATAATGGTTATTTTGAAGCTATCGAAAAAGGGCTGTCTGAATCTTTTGGGGATTTCGAGCGTTTCGCTTTAGAAAAAAGGTGTAGACGATATATTGAAATTTTTCAAAAACCGATTGCTGGAATTAATAGACAAATATGTTCCCGTTAAACTAATACGTGCAAAAGCAATGAATGACAACAGCTATAAAAAAGCGCAGACGGAATTTTCAAGATCATAAACTACACCCATGCATATCGGAAGCCGCAGAGCTCGGGAAACTCATTGTAACCAATAAGGGAGCTGTTACCACTGCAAAACGCGAGTATTTTGATAAACTGTCTGATGGAATGCGACCTAGAAGCAAAGAATTTTGGAAATACCTAAAAAAGACACGAAATTAGATTATGGAAATTGCAAATATACTATATCTTGGGAAAGCGACTCAAGAAGGTTCCAAAAAGTAAAGCTGTTTTAATACATACTTCCAGTCTATTTTTGCCTCTAACGTGAAAACTCATCCTTGCCCCTATCTCAATGAAAAAATGTAAATCAAATTGCTCCTGTTGTCATCAGTATAAAGGGGATAAAGGAGTGCCTAGATGAGCTTGATATTAAAAAGGTTGAAGGTCCTGATGGTTTGTCAGCCAGAGTTTTAAAATTGTGCTCATTTGTTGTGTCTCGCTACTTAGAGATTATGTTTTGTAAATCTCTAGAACAAAGCGTGCTCCCGGGTCAGTGGAAGGTGACGTGTGTTACGCCAATCCATAAGCAGGGATCAAAACACAAAGTGGAGAATTATCGCCCCATCTCACAAAACGCATATGTTGCAATATTTTAGAGCATATTATTTATAGCAATGATGTGAGGCCTTTCAATACAAATAGTTCTTTCTCTTCTACCCAACATGGTTTTAGAAAGGGCCTCTCATGCGCCACGCAGCTCGTAGAGCTTTATCATGACTTGGTTTCAACGGCTGAGGGGGTAGAAGAAACACACGTCATCTTTCTCGATTTGAACAATGTTTTCCATAAAGTATATCCCCCTTTGTTGCTACACAAACTGTGCTCCCTTAGCTTTGATGGAAACGTATACCGTTGGATAGAAAATTACCCCTCTGAGAGAAAGCAGTGTGTCGTCGTAAATGATGCAAGCTCACACTTTGTTGATGTGACTTCTGGCGTGCCGCAGGGGTCAGTGCTGGGGCCTCTTTTATTTCTTGTGTTTATTAATGATATATCATCGACCATTAACTTGTTGATAAAGATGTTTGCAGACATTTGTGTTTCGTATAGCAGGGTGAACAGTGTTAGTGATTCGACTTTTTTACAGTTCGACCTGGATAGAATATCGGATTGGTACAGGATTTGGGAGTTAGGCTTGAATGGGGATAAGTGTGTGAAGGTTATTTTTGGAAGAAAACGTAACCCTGTATCATCATGTTATTTTATTCATCATCATAAATTAAGTAGTAATATTGATGTTAAATATTTGGGGATTACCTTGTCAAGCACACTTTTTTTTAATGTTCATGTCACTGAAACTGCTAAAAAGGCCAGCTAAACTTTAAATTTTCTTAGTCGAAATTTACGCAGTGCTCCACAGAAACTAAGGGAGACAGCCTACTGCTGTTTGGTTAGACCAACACTGGAGTGCGCATGTGTTTTGTGGGATCCGCACCAAAAGTACCTTGCAAATAAGTTGGAGAAACTTCAAAGCCGCGCGGTGAGATTCGTAACAGGAAATTATAGTAGAAGCAATAGCGTTACAGAGATTAAAAATGTACTTGGTTGGGAAACTTTATTGTTAAAACGGAGGGATTTTTGATTCAGGTTCCTGCTCGCAATTTTTAACGATTTCACAGGTGTTGATAAAAACATTGCCTAACTATATTTCAAATCTTGTGGATCATTCCAGAAAGTTAAGGGAAATTTTCTGCAGAACAGATTATAAAAAGTTTTCATTTTTTTTCCCACACACAATTACTCAGTGGAACCCATATTGCTCGAGTCTTTTTTTTTATTAATGATGACGTGGGACAATTTACCTCAGGAAATGGTCTTGATTTTTAATCTTATTTATTTGTATCGTTTATCTATTCTCTTTCTTGACAGCTCAGGCTGTATATTCAAGAGTTTTGTTTTTATTTCTTTATTGAGCGTATTAATTCATGGGCTGTACCTGCTATAATGCAGAAGTTTCGGCGCTGCAAGATTTCTTTTGTAAAAAGAAATATAAAAATGAATCCACTTTTTTGTTTACTATGTAGCTTCTCGGCCTATTTTTTAGACTTTCTAAAGAACTTAGCATATACAAATTAGATATAAATTGCATATAAAACATAATCTAACACCCTTTCTGCCCTATATATAACAACACTAGGTACGTTTTTGGTTAAAAAAAAAAAGAAAACATATTCCGAACAATAATTTTATTTTTTCTTATAATAAGTCCATGGAGACTTCACTTTCCACTTGCCGCGTGCACATACACAGACATGAGACATTCACACGCCAATGAGCACTCATAACACTAGTAATTCAGCGGTGTTGACTGCTTCGCCGCTATATATACCCTACATTTGAAAGGCATTCATTTGAATGAGGATCATCCCAGAAGATTAAAAAAAAGATTACAAGTATGTTTTTTGTTTGTTTTTTTTGCCACTAATTTACACAAAATGTCTGTTATAAGGGTTGATGAACTGCGTCTCAACCCTTATAACGGAAAGGCGATAAGTATTTGACGCAGTCGAAAAAAGAAACGTCCACAAGGAGGCTCCAACTGGGAGTGATGTCGCTTCTCCGCACTGCACCATATCATGCCATCGAGTCTAGTTCATAAAAATTGCATAGAAGTATGTTCACAAGATGTCTCTTGTAACGTGGAAATACACATTTTATAGCATTTCTATCATGTTTACTTGATAGACTTCGGTTGAAAGAAAGTTTATAGAAAGTGTGTGGGAAAGTGTTTTCAAAACAATTTCGAAAAATGTTTTGTAATAGGAAGAAGTCGGGACCCGCTGACCAAAAAGATAATGGAAGCTAAAAAAAGTAGCGCTTCTCGCTGAAAGGTGTGTTAGTAGTCCGTCCTTAACATTGCCTCAAAAAGAGCTCGAATTTTTATCTTGATATTTGCGGTGGGGAGCGAGAAGCATATTTTGAAGTGTTTCCTGTATTCGTGCTATTGTTCTGGTCATGGAGATTGGGAGAGTCAACCCATTGACGAGAACAAAGAAGTAACAGAATACAAGACGAGATGTAAGTCAGCGCGTGTGTTTGTCCTTTTGAGTGTCGGTGTGGGTGATTGATCTTGCGCTGTTAGCCTTAAAATTAAAGTTAAAGGTAATCCAACCCGCACATTCAATATACAGTTCACATTATTACGATAATATTTACAATAATGTGGCTCCTGTGAAATATCTCTGAAGAGGAAGTACTTTGGGTAAAAAGCGAGGAAGAAGAAGTACTTCGGGTTAAGCACAAAGAGGAATTATAACCTACTTGTCTGTCAGCGGTGTGTTTGTCCCTTTCTAGCCTTTGGGTGTTCGTGTTTATGTTCTAGCTGACTTTTATACTTAAACATTTGTTAGTTAAGTTCCGTCCTTTGCTTTCATTCATGTTTTGAGGCACTGAGAGAAAACTTGAAAATCGATATACGTGTGTGTCGTGGGGTGGCTCACTTTTAATTAGCCATTATTAAAGTTTCGATATGAAGACTTCATAAAAGCGATTAAGATATGCTAGAAAGACTGGTTTATTATATATTTAGGAAAATAATATTTATATTTTTTAATTCTTTAAATAAGTATTTAGTTTCATTGTTTTATATTGTAGGTCACCGGTGAATCATTTGTGGATCACAATGAATTCACCTAGCGAACGCAGAGACTTGGTGGAATTTAAGTATCCTTATTATGCAAGTAAGTCGTTACTGATATTATTTTACAAACTCACACGTTTGGAAAACTAACGTGGTTTTTAGTCGATTAAATCAGGAGACGTATTGCGCTGCACTGTGAATAATTATGCAATAAAACTTTGGTTGGGTCTAGTTCGATCATATCATTTAAAAGGATAAAAGCGCGAACTAAAACACGGGAAAAAATAAAGGAAGTTCTATTGATGGATCTCAGGAAATGTGTAAGCACGGCTTTGGAAAACGCTAACGCCGATAACTTCACTTTTCTGCTTTGGCTTTCTCTCTTACTTCCTCTACTTTTTGCTGCCTCTTTTTGGCTTCGTCACGGGGTCAGTGTTAGCGTTTCCCAAAGACGGACATGTGAGCCGTTTCCGAGGGATCATGCCAACGCATTCCCTAGGGATCCACCAATAAATCTTCCTTTAATTTTATTTCTGTTTTTGTTTTTTATTTTATTTTTTTGGTGTTGTCTAGATTGTTTGTTTCGCGACTGAACGGGTAGAAGAGGAGTACAGTCTGCCATAAAAAAGATTGACACAAGGGAGCGATTGCCCGGCCGGCGAAAATGCGACACGGGACGCTTCGGTAGCGTAAGCGCTATTAAGGCCCCTTTAAACTGAAAGGTAGCGCAAACCATTGTCTGAAAGAGAGAAAATAAATTTCTCCTTGTGTATGCCCTTCCCCTCTCAAAAATTATACTTCCCCTCGCTTCAATTGGATCGAGCGCGACACATGACAGTTACCTTCCCATGATCTCGCACGACTGGGTGGTCTGCTATAAACCGACGCCATCTTTGTGCAAGGCGAGGTGGTGCTCACATTTCGACCGTAGATCTTTTTTTTTTTTTTTAATTATGACGATTTTGGCGGCAACGCGATCTTATTATGCTGCGCTGTGGATTATGCAAACAGCGTTGCGAAAGAAAAGATGCTTTTTGCCGTCCCGACGGGAAATGAAAATCTTCAGTAGACGACGGCTCCGGATCGGTCGGAAAAGTGTCGACTGTTTCCGAGGTGGACTTTGCGAGGTAAATTATTGTAAAACTCTGGATCGTATGACCTGTCTCTTTCGGTCTCGCCGATGAAGATCGCCTATACAGTCATGTGACGAGAACAGTATGATCTATGACGACTCCAAAAAAAGGCTCGTTTTGTTGTTCTTGGGATCTTTTGTTGTTTTGTTTTTGTTTAAGAGGTTGTAGTGAGAAATGTGCAGTAGTTATATTGTTACGGGTGTCTTTGTAGTTGAACAGGAGTGTTTTTTCGAAAAATCAACTTGTCCAGATGGTGACCACTGTGCAATATTGTGTCTTGTAGCAATAAACATTTCGTTGTCTTCATCTTTGTATGTGATTTGTCCTGCGTAAATAATAAAATATTATTTATTGGAAAAAAAAAATTCTTGTCTTTTAAAGGCTCTGCTGAAGGATATCTCTGTACTCATTTAACTCACACAGTAAGGTACGCCCGCGGGTGTGCGGCAAGTCTTATACGCTATGCAAGTGAACTCAAGGCTGGCGTACCTTGGGCGTGAGAACGTCAAAACAATATCGCGAACCACAGCAAGGATGAAGAAGGGCCTCCCTAAGCTTATAATTGAGATAATGAGGAACGCGGAATAGTTCCTCATTCCTCATTTATCTTATAATTGAGATAAATGAGGAATGAGGAAGTTTTGCTAGCATGTATAATGATTATGAAGATGATGAAGTACGCATTCTTTGTTTTGTATGTTTATGCATCGCTTTATATGGGCGATGTAGGCTTTATGTTGCTTTGGCCTGCACTCAACGGTTTCTCGTCACGCTCAAGTGTGACGCTTTTCGCACGAAATCCACCCCTAAAACGCGTTCTGTGTCAAAATGATTAGAATTAGGGACAGTCATTGAATACAGTGGAGCACTGCAACGGCAGTTAAGTTAAACCCGATGTGAGCCTAGCATGAATTTGTCCCAATTTGTTCACTTGGACCTGGTTAGAAACTCGACTAACGGGAAGCTAATTATTCAATGTTACTACCTTTAAAAAAATAATTAGCGGAAGAAATACTGAGTTTCGAAAGAAAGTGAGTCGGAGTTTCCTTTAATAGGCATGACATCACATATTTTTAGAAGTTAGCTCAATTAGTAGAGGCAAACTTGCATTATTTGACATTGTTAGCCGCACTGAATATGTCCCGTACGTCTGATTTCTGTTTGCAAATTATTTTCAGCGCTCGTATTTCTTCGGCTGCTTTTTACCGACTATGAAACCTGCTTCGTCTTACAACAGGTCGATAATGGAGGTGAGCAAGAACTCTTTTTTCTACTACGTTTATTTTGTATTATGTCAAATCTTATTGGCCTGCTCAATTCCTAGTACTTTGACTAGGAAAACCAGTAACTAAATATTTGTAGCACGTTCTTTCTTTGTCGTGACATCTAGAGCTGTAAAGCTTGAGTGCTTCGCTAAAAACTAAATTGACTAAAAATGTTCATTTATTTAAATGCTGTGCATGCTAAGTTGCTACCCCGTTCAGAGTGTTTCTATCAGTAAAGCGTTTCATAACGCAATGAAGATGAATAGTTCCTGTCATTAGCAGCACAAAATATTTTGATAAAAACCTTTACTTGAAGCTTGAATCTGCAGATAACTTTTTTTCTACATTACTTACACTATTCACAGAAGACATAATAGGATTGCGCGCTACAATTAGGTCGTCAATCACCGACAGTCTGAAATTGGGCTTGGTACTAAACCTCTCGTGTCTTGTGATTTTTGGTTCCACCTATACTCGTTGTCATCTCAAGAAAAATAAAATTTTAGGCAACTGTTCACACGCCGCGTGAAGTAATTTTTACAAGATTTGGTTGTCGGAGGAAGAAACGATGCTTTCGGCGTTTGCAACGTGCACGTCTTCATGAGATAATATATATCTAATTTAGAATGCGCCTAATTATATATTAGGCGCATTTTAATTTATATATTAGGGGCATAATTAGATATAATATATATCTAATTTTATTCTCGAAGGGGCAAATCAATAATGTTCTATGAGGAGCCGGATAGTCTTTATTTTCCTGTACATCCTTGCCACAAATATTCACTTCTTGGCGAGGAAGCGAGAGCGCCGACGAATGGTGAAAAGAATGTGTGGGGTGATTTGTGCGACGGTGATTAGTGATTTGGTTCCAAGCGTTGTCCTCACTGGAACCTCAGGCGGTACGGCTTAGAAAGGGGTGTGGTATCTGCCGTGCGTACAGAAGAGATCTCGGTAAGCTGGCCCATTGTCCCAGTCACTTCAGCCCTAAGGAGTCAGGACACCACTTCCTTGCGGTTGAGCAGAAACATCACGTTTTTGCTGTCGCATCGCAGATTCCTGAATGACCCGTCTTGTGGTGGTTTGTTCGATTTCGTGCGCAGAAGCGAAAAGCACAAATGACTAGGGAGCTTGCATCCATGATACGGCCAGCAACTGTGGACATGGAGCCGGTAGAGTCGTGCTTGAAATCAACCGTACTCGTACTTGACTTGGCGCCTGTATTTAGTTTCAGAATTTGTTAATCGTTGGACCTTTGTCCTTAAGGACCTTTGTCCTTATTTGACGTATTCACGGGTGTTTCGGCGGACGTAATCCCGACGCGGGCGTCGGGACGAGCGCTTTCTCGACGCCTCAAGGCGTATTCTGCGATCCTACCGAGACAGATCTCGGTGCTTCGGCGTATTTTAGCGCGGCGTATCCGGAAGCACACGGCGCAGTGCCGGCCAATCCGCTCGCGAGTTGACAGCCGGAAGTTGCTTGAGGATCGGCTTGCCTAGCTATGCGGCCGGCTGGTTGGCTTGACTAATGCCACGGAAATGGGAGCTCGCATGTCGCGCTCGACGGTTTATCGGTTAACTGTACGAAATCGCTATACCTATTTAGAACGAACGATGAACGACTGATCAGAAGAGAAGGACATCTATAATCGAGATAATTATGAAAGCTATAGGTCCTTGAGCATAGATCCCGGCCGTCTTCTTGTAGTACCTTCTTGGCAACTTGGCGATGTCAAGGAACATTTCTGGGATATGCGTTGGTTAATTAGGTTTTCGTGGTTCATTATTATTTAGTTATTTCTGCCCCCTTGCGGAACACAGTAATATAGGAGCCGATCTACATATTGCCTCGTCTCATGAAAAACAAGACTTGGGCCACAGTGCACTAAACGCCGAGGAGACGACTACGGAAAGCGCCTTGCTTGGTTTGGCGACGTTCCCCTCTTCCCTTCTGTGAAATGAAGCGCCCGCCAAACGCCGTGATTACCTCCGCTGAAGCGCGAGTAAATATTTTGAGAATACGTCCTATATGGCTCACTCGCCAGCAACTGTAGCCTGCGGACGAAGTATATGCTGGGCTAAGTACGACTCGCCGTGGACAGTCTTGTGCTACCTCATGAGTCAAGAGATGGCACAAGACTGCCCGCGGCAGGTGACAGACGCGACGGCAAGTCCTACTCGTGGTGTTGGGAGTGATCGCTCAGCTACTGAATGCGGACACTCGATGGCTCGCTTAGATATAGATGTGACAACGGTCGCTGACAGCCGTGGTGAAAATGCTTTTTGCGTCACTGCTGACTACCGAATTGTGTTGCTGACGCTGCCGGTGGGAGGCAAGGTAAAGAGCGTGTTTACATCCACTGCGACGTCAATGCCAGGCCATTTCGGCCATTTCGGATTGCAGACTTTAAGGAGCCCTTGGACAAGGTCAGTTTACGCAAGGACGTGATAGGGTTCGGCGTATACCAGATAGGTCACGTGAGGCTCTGTAGCCTAAAGAGTGCTGCAGCGAAAGAACAATTGCTGTAGTTATGCTGTCTCGCGGTGAAAGGAAAGCTGTGCCTTCATGTAAATCATAACAGGCAACGAATATTCGCGCCAAGCTTCATTGGGTCCCCTTCGACGCCCCCAACGACGCCCTCCGGGAGGCTCTGAAGGAGTCTGGGACGGTTCACGAGGTGACCAGAAAAAAGTGGTGAGTTGACGGTTTTGAAGACGTTGAATCAACCCCAAGGATCTCCAGACTAATGCTCAAGGAGGGGGTGAGTCTGACAGCCTGCCACACCAGCTGAGGCTCCAATGAGGCACGGTCTGCGTTGGCGTGCCCGGGCGTGCACCACTATGCCTGCGGCCACAGGGGAGAGTGTCGTGCGCCCCCGTGCGGGCAGTGCCGATGCTTTGGTCACGGAGCTTAAGACTGTGCGCGCTCATATGTTAGCGCCGTAGTCAGCCGCGTCGGAGATGACAGCCGCGACCTGATTATGGGCGACACGGAAGAGGAGGATGCTTCAATGCTGTCGGTGAAGCCTTTGGAGGCGACGGAGCCAAACCCGCGTGCGATGCAGTCAGTACCGGGACGGCGGAAGAGACTGCCAAAGCTGCGCCGCTTACTGGTGCGACTGCTGGGGACAACGAAAAGGCAACGCAGGTTTCGCCGACGGGCACGACTACGCCGGGAAATCAACGGAGACGGCAGGAAGCACTGACGCCCCGCAGAAGGCAGACGACAGGGAGCAGAACATGGACCTGGACCTCGTGAATGTGAAAAGGCGACTTGGCGTGGCGGGCGGGAACAACGAAGAACAGGAGCGACACTGTTCTGAGACGCCGTGGCAAACGCGCCCGAAAAAAGGGAGCTGAGGTCCTCGTTGCCATCTCGCGAAGAAGTGTCACAGTGAGCGTGCTTAATGGTTGGTGTCACGGAGCAACAGCTAAGTACCTCTGCATTTTGAAAACTCAGTTTTGCGGGAGACATCTTTAGATTTGATTTACATATATCAGTACATTGGCTCCTCACTTGATGTGATAACTAGAATAAAAATGACACCGCCCCGCTGGCATGCTGGTATTTTTAATAGAACAAAAGAACAAGAAAACTGCCGTTTCCGTTGCTCAATTTACTCAGGAATTAACATAAGCTCAACATGTTCCTAAAAAAGTACAATCAGTTAATTTGACAGTTCTCGCTGTCCTGACGATTTTAGTACAACACCCTGAACAAATGTCTGTCTTTTAATGGTGATATCTTTTTCTTTTAAGGCAAAAATCTTGAACTTGTAGCTTTACCTTAGGCAGCTGATCCTGCTGATCGAGAGTTCTCGCAGCCGAGATGCACCTTTCAACATAGAGCTCGCGCTTGCAGCCAAATAGCCGAATTGTTGTAAAATACAAAAAGCTGGGAACTAAAAAATAAGGCGAAACAAAGGGCAAATTAACGCAGATAAGTAAAACCAGTATGAATACGTTAAAAGAGCAGAACTAATTTTCGAGCGAAAATGAGTCGGCGAGATGAGATCACTATTGCTCATGTCACTTCTATAGTGCTCAAGACATGGGAATCGGGACTCCTAGTCGGCTGTCTGCAGGCCTGGTCCCAGCGAGTCGCGGGCTGCATGGGCCCTCATTTCGCGGGTTTGAGACCCCTGCCATATCGGAATGTATTGTGTCATTGTGCCGGGTGCGGTGCAGACCGCTGTCGAGATTTCCGAGAGAAGTTGTATCCTCCTTTCGTATTCTTTTTGTACGTATAACTACAGAAGGCTTGTCTATTGTTACATCCAAGAGGTTGACGTTGAGAGGAGACAGACTTTTCATCTCCACAGTGGGGTCTAGTGTAAAGAGAGGCAATTAATGGGTCTTACGAGCACGTAGCTTTCACTTGTGGGGATGAAAAGCCTGTTTTTATTCTCCTTTTGCCCGGATTCCATACGTTTTACTGTCGTTTTTAAGCGCGAATAAAGGTCTATGACGTCATTTCCGTTTTGTGTGTGCGCGCGCACCGGCGGCTACTGGCCCGTGGAAAGATTGTGCGCCACTTATTACGGACACTGCAATGTTTGGTTCAGTGTACCTTTAGAGAAGAGCGCCCATTACTCCACACGACATTCGTTCTTTAACTGCTGTCAGTGAGCAAGTACCGTATGACGCAATCATGCTCCTGAGGCTTTATAGTACTATATGGAAAAGCGAGATGGCGGTGCGGCGTGCAGATATCGATGTCCGCACCGTCTGTGAGTACTTTATGGAGAGCGTGAAGCGCCTCAGAGAACGCTATTTAGAGATTAAGAGCGACATATGGTGAGTTCCACGGGTAGATCTGGAGCACTTTCCACAATCCGCTAAGGAGGCGAAATTCCACTCCGTGGGACCCGCTCTGAATCGACGAGCGGAAGATGGACTCGCAGTTTTGGAGCGACCCACCGACCCGCGCGAGACGGCCGGCCGTTCAAAATGGCCGCTGCTCGAACTTGGCAAGCCGACCAACGCCTCAGCCGAGGGGTCTTTCCAGGGAAGTTAGAAGTACTAGGAGGGGGCACGTTGCAATATTGGTGAAGCCTAGTCATAAGAAGTTTAAACGATTTTGTGCCCAGCGTGACCGCAGATCTCTCTGGCGATTGGTGCGCGTGACATGTCACGTGTGAGATGGTGGTTGATTGTAGAAGGGCTCCTAGCAGGCTTGCATGCGCTCCGTCCGGTAGGTTTTATCACGTCGAAGTCTAGGCTGTGGTGTATTTTAGTACCCCACAGCAAGACGAAGGCTAGCTACGGTCACGTGATGTGGTCACGTTGGCATGGTAAGTGAGGAGAGTAAGGAGGAAAATGAGAAAGATGCGAGGCGTCAAGGGAGCATGGCTTGTGGAGGCTACGCGGCCGACGTCATGCCCTCTCCTACCTTTCTATTCTCCATGGGTCTTTCCGACGACCAGTGACAACTGTCACTGCTTAGCTGCAAAAATAACACGCGACACAGGATGGGCGAAAATATCCGTACCACGGAGCCCGTGTAACAAATAACGAGGAAGACGTCCGCGTTTCACACCGTCACATACCTTTCGGCCGCCTCGAAGCGGCGGGGCACGCACAGCGACTGCCATCGGTGGAGTTACGATTGCTGGTACACCTTTAATAAACACAAAGAGGTAACAAAACCATCTCTTGCACGGTCGTTGCCGAATTTGTTCTTGCTTTATTGCACGAGAAAACGCTGGCATATGCATTGTAAAAAGGTAAACAGTGTCGGCAAAATGAACAGGCATAGCCTTGCGTCTGCCTCCTTCGGATTTTTGTCGCTCTTTTTCTCGTTCTTCTGACGATCACTGATGTTAGCGCTTACGATTCGCCACGCTCCAGTTGCGGCTTTGTATCCCTACGCGAGGTAGAAGCGTTCGAGCTGTCCGAACAGGGCAACTCGACGGCCCGGTCGGTCCGGCGACTGCGGCGACGGCGGCTGCGGCGGCGACCTCGCCAAATTCACCGCGCATGCGCACCGCTACGAGCGGAAGACGGCCAACTTGAGCCAGATCTGCGAGCGGAATATGGACGCTCCAAATGCAGCGCTTTTGGAGCGCCGTGTTATTCTAGAACACTTTATGAACATTGACGGCGAAACAATTTCGTTCCAGCTTTGCAGGTGTGGATGATTGAATCGACGAATACAACCAGGATAAACGACACTTGCCATTCTACATACAACCAAACCTTGAATAAGACTGGTAACCTTTCGGAAATACCAAAATATTACATCTACAATGAAACAGTATGCGGCAAAAAAATAGAAATGATTCCTTATTTTTGATATATGTGTACTTATGAACCAGGAGTGGACTTACTCAAGAGCTTCAATGGAAGTTTCGCTATAAGAAAACACCATGTGCAATTCCTTTATATGAATTTGCGATGTGGATTTGGGTTTACGTATAAGATAAAACAAAACTTTACTTTCCCAAAAAGCTTTTCACCTGGTCAAGAACCGAATAAAAAACAAACAAAAAAGAGGCGAGTTTTATATTACACAGTTCCTTGATATTACCAGGGGTCTTCCCTTCGATAAGCGTGGCCTCAACACCAGGTAACTACAACAACCTTTTTTTTATTTCTAGTACGTAAGAGCTTCGGCCCTGTCCATGGAGCCCGGCGCCGCCTCGACATTTCGCTGGCACCTCGGCTACTATTTGGTTGCTGAGGCCACAGGCGTAGAGTAGGGGGGAAGGGGGGGGGGGGGGGGGGGGGGTAGGGGGTGGCATCGGGGCTCGTGCCGCCCCTGGTGAGATCCCGGGGGGGCAGAGCCCTCCCCCCCCCCCCCCCCCCCCCCCTTCCGCGCCATGATCCTTACCGAGCGCTGTTTACGTGCCATGTAACGAGCTTCTAGTAGTGGCATGTAAACAAAGTAACGCACACAGCAACGGACACATGTCGGTAAACATACGCTATAAAATATACCCCCTTAAAATAAACTACTGATAATTGCGGGTGTAAAAAAAAAATTGTGCCGAGAAGCACGTGAGGTGCTCCCCCCCCCCCCCCCCCCCCCCACCCCCCCTCTCCCTTTCTGAAAAGCGAAAGTCTACGCGCTGGCTGAGGCAATCAAATAGCTGTGTTTTCAACCAGCAACCGGCAACGATTTAGTTGTTTTTTCGGCCACGTTTTAGGACTTATACGCCTCGCAAGTGGAATGACCACCCGTCCCGCGACTCGCGGGACTGTCCCGCATTGAGGGCTCGTGTCCCGCGTCCCGCAAGAAATTCCAAAATTTTCAAAATGTCCCGCATTTCGCACTGGCGTGAAATTCATATCGCAAATTATGGCGCTTCCGAACAACGGGCAACGGGGAACCGCGGAGGTCGCTGATAAATGTGTGAATCTCGATAGTATGTCATTTTCTTGCGAAGCACTGCGAGAAGCGACCGTCGTTTTTGTAGGAGACTGACGCACATGCCCCCTTGATGGCCAAATATTGCAAGCGAAAATTGCTCGCCAAAAGCTGAAAAATAAACTATTGTAATTAGTTGCAAATCATGCTGTATCATTTGAAAGGGGTGTTGTGGAAAGCTTTTTCTTTTTTTTTAGTGAAGACGGCCTCAGAGGGCAAAAAACCTGCAACTCACAACGGTCAAAAAAACAACACAAGGTTTTATTTTTGTGTAGGAGCATGTTAATATAAGAATAAGTATCGACAGGAAACAATAAGCCGAAAAATAGTTACAGTTTTTTATTTCCTTTTGATGCATTGGGGTCTGGTGCAGTCGATCTTTATGTTTTCAACTTAGATACTTTTAATAAAATATTTACCATTACCAATAAACAAAAGTATCTTACTTATCTTAAAAGTATCTAAAGTATCAAAAGTATCTTAAAGAAAACTTATCTTAGTTTAATTGCCGCGTACAATTTTCAGGTGTATAATACGCTTCCGGACAGCACAGGATTTCGGGTTGTGCGCGTTGGTGAATTTCCCTTAATACTTATTTCTTAAGTCATGAAAATACCGTCCTCCTCTTACTCCCTCCCTCCCTCCTTCCCTCTCTCTCTCCCCCCCCCCCCCCCTTCCCCGGTCAAGGTGTCCCGCATTCCACCTGCAGGAAGGTGGTCACCCTACTCGCAAGTGGGCTCATTTTCGTCTTCTGCGCATGAGAAAGGAAGTAGCGGTGACGTCAGAACGCCGAGCCCTGATTGGCTGATCGCGACCCCCTATCTGAGCGTCGGCTGCTCCTTTGCAACGTCGTCTGCTCGCAACGTCGTCTGCGTCTGTCTTACCTGTCCTGCGACTTTCGGAAGTCGAACGAGCTCGACTTCGCCTTTCAGAGAAGGCAGACGAAATAACTCGAGCGGTACGTTGTATTTGTCTAACAACTAGCAGACGCATATCAAGGAGGGAAGTCAAAGGACTCACTGGCGAGGTGTCCGGAGGCGCCGAGGTTTGTTTGCTAAGAACCGAGAGTGAGCGTGTTAGTGTCCGCAAGTTCCCTCCCAAATACTTTTTCCCTCCTTTCGTGTGCGGCGAGACCCCTCATTCTTTAACGGCGTCGGCGGGTTGGCGCAGTTAACGTCGTCTGCTTTACGACTGCTAGTCAAAGCGATGGCTGTTTTACCTTTCCTGCGTCTGTTGGAGATTCACCGCTTTTTCACCGGCGAGAGTCACCGTTGCCTAGGGAAACAAGGAGATAACAAGAGGAAGAAATTGACCTCTTAATCTAAAACTGAGGTCAGCGATCAAAGTATAATACGGGAAGGGTTCACAAGGGTCGCGCGGGCATATTCCATTCAGCACGCCAGCCAGTCGTGGGCTGACGGTCGCCGAGTCGCGGAGTGCCTACTAGGCCTAACTGCCGTGCTCGCTTGGTCGCGTTCGGTGGAATCGTGGCCGTTGGAGCTTTTCCCGGGTGTTTGTGGATCCAGCGTTCTTGTTCGTCGTGGTCTGTTTCAATTGCTTTTTACTTTTTTCTTGCTGCTTGAAGTCGGGACTCGTGAGAAGCCCACGTAGAAAAATAAACGCCCGTGGGTCGACGCGACCGCGACGCTGTCGGCCATGCTGATTTGATCGTAAGAAGTGCTTAAGACAGCTTCGGAGCTGTCCGTAGGATTTCGTCGAAACCTCCGCAAAACTTACGAAAATTTCGTTTCGTGAATACGAATTTGTTCTTAAGTTATGTCTTACGCACATTTTTGGCGTAAGATGGTTTCGTGAATCTGACCTCTGCACTTCCGGAAGTCGCAGGAAAGGTACAACAGACGCAGACGACGTTGCGAACAGACGATGTTGCAAAGGGGCAGACGACGCTCAGATAGGGGGTCGCGATCAGCCAATGGACCTTTTCCGAGAAGCGTTCTGCGCACGCGCGAGCGCCCGATGCCAAGCGGTGGAAGTCGGCACGAAAAATCGAGGAAATTCGGAATGAGGCTCTAGATCGACGAGTAGAACACGTAATTGCAGGATATATATAATTGTGTTACACAAAAAAAAGAAAGTGGACGGAAAGAAAAACACGACGTTTGGGTGGACGCTACGGATTTCCCTCTTTAAAGTCGCGTTGGGCACACGACGCAGCTCAGAGAGCGAAGCAACTGGTAGCGTAGCTCCCAATATCGATTGGTAGCGCAGGTAGGTCACTTTCTCGATTTTTAGTTCGTGCAACCACCGCCTGGTGCCGTCGGTATTTGGAAAAAGTCCATCAGGGCTTGGTGTCCTGACGTCACCGCTACCCCCTGCGCAAGAAGCAGACGAACTTGCCCTCCGCATTAGCTAGGTGCAGGGTTTATATCCAATAAACATAAGGGAAGATATATGACGTACATACTTTTTTACATAAAAATTGTGATATGTTTATTTAACAAATATTGTAGAACCTTTTTTTTTAGGGGCTTTTCTTCAAACTAGATTTAGCATAAAGAAACAAAGCTACACTATTTTTAATATAGTGAACTCATCCTTCAAAATTTTTAATAAACAACAAACTACTTCACTACATCGCTGTTCACTATTACATCACAATGCGTCAAGAAACCGATTTAAGCGGTCCCTTTAAAAGGCACGAAATTGGGGTCGCCTTGTATTAGAATTAAGATTTATTGCTCGCGGTCCACCATTGAGCCGAAAGCACTTGACATGTGAGCAAATACAAACCGCCTGTGTGCCGTCAAGTCTCCATTCAAACAGCGTCTCACAGCCTCCAGATATGACTTTACGTGGTGGAAAAGTGAAATTGATGTATATATGCACATCTCTGTCGGCCAAGGCGGCACGAGTGCTTCCACAAGACCCACAAGACGTGATCGATTCTGGTATAAAGCGGCACTGTAGCTTTTATTATGCAGTCCACTGTCGTAGGCATGCGCCTGTGAGCTTGTGTTTACGTCCGCTAGCATTGTTTAAAGGACAAAAGGAAACCTAAAATACAAGACACAGTCCTATGTAAACTGAAAGATTATCTCCTTGGGTTGTTTTTATGTGAGTGTGCACTCGCTCTTATATTTACATTGACTAATGTAGTCGCTCGTATACCACACTCTCTTCTATTCCTTTCAATATTACTACGGCTACACTTGTCAATCTTCCAACACTTGCAATATATATAGACCGACACGCCGAGCGGCTCAGTTTACCAACACGGCCGAAAGGCCGCGCATGCGCGGTAGCTATGTGGGTAAAACCGCCTAGGCTCTCCGTGTCTTCGCCACTGCGTTGTGTGGCGTGCGCTTGTTGTTGACGTTGTAGGGACGCTTCTAGCTTTATGTGAGTCGTATTTCCTGACAACGTATGTCGTATGCTATGCCCGACTATTTGAGCTCGCTACCCGAGCCTGAATGGCAGCGGTATCGAAAGAAACTGTGCATGGACGGCGTTGCCTACGAGGATCCGTACGCCGTAAACAAGGCTGGACTTCCGACGTGAAGTTGCTGCCACTGAAGTCGACGGCTAAAGTCGTCGTTTATTTAGTTTTTTCGCCAAGCCAGTTCACGGCCGACACGGTGCAGGAGTACAAGTCCCTCGAAGCCTACGATTACTTCGAGTCGGTTTCCGCACTGCCGGCGGGATCAGCAGACTGCGGGTCTGCGGAAGTATATTCATTATTAAATAAATACACACAGCGGTCTTGAAGTCAAGGTATGACCACAAGCATGACAAGCAGTAACGCTTTATCCGTTCTGCAGTCTTGGCGGTAACATGTAACAAGTAACGGCGTTACCAGGAACGCGTTACTTTTTTCAGTAACGTAGTAACCTACTCGTTACTTTTTCGACCCAGTAACGGGTAACGTACTTGCGTTACCATTTCAAGTAACGCAGTTACGTTGCTCG